CCCAGTCTTCAAGGCAAATGGGCCAGAACTATAGGTAAAAGAAAAGCCAAGTGCTAGAATGCAGTGCTGAAGCAGGGTCAAAGGTTAAGAGGGGACCAGGGGGGCTTCCTGAAGCTCCCAGTGGAGGGCCAGCCATCCAGGCAGGCTGCTGGGGAAGCTCTGGGTTGGCTCGTGATGCAGGCTGGCAGAGGACCTGCGCCTAGCTCAGCCCCCTTGGCCTGTCTGACCCCATCCTGGAGCTGGCCCAGTGCCTTTATTCCTCTAGGAGCCCAGGCCCACCCCCCCAGGGGGGCAACCACTGCGTCTCAGGGTCCCCTTCCCAGTCTCACCCAGAACTCCTCGGCTCCAGGATCAGCATTTTCAGAGAAACCCAAAAAGCCATCTCGACCAAGTCTTGTTTTTCCAAACCTGCTGTGAGACTGATTCCCGAATCAAGGGAACCAGATTAGGGGTCTTCTGCACAGGAAGGGCTGAGAGGCCAGCGGGGCCAGCAGAAAGGCAGGAGGCGCCGTGGTCAGCAGAAGAGATGCCACCGGAGCAGCCAGCGCTGACCAACCGCAGAGCAGATGCTGCGCTGGGCTTTGCTCTGGGCTTCTCAAAGGTCTGCCAGGTCGACTCTCCTCACAGGCTGGTTTACAGGGAAGAACTTGAGGCTTTGAGGGCAGGATGAGGCTGACAGCTGGGAACTGGCAGGGAAGAGACTCCACTATCATCTGAATCACCTCTCTGGGCCTCAGTTCCAAGCAGGCCGGCTGGGGCCCACCAACAAAAGGTGTGTGGGACCAGGCATGGCTGCCCGTGGCAGGGCATCACCTTGCCAAGCAAAACTTCACAGGAAAGGGTGCAGGAGGCAGTCATCATCTACCCTCTTAGATTCAGTGACTGAATCAGTGAGTGGGTGAGCCCTGGGTGTGAGCCCCAGCTCTGTCCCACTGTGTACCTGGACATCTTAACATCTGAAGATATCAACATCTCAGAGAATGGGGCTAGCGTTCTCTGAGGGGGGGAAGGATAGTGCCTGGGAGAGGGCTGGTGGTGCTAGTCTGTACCCCGGCTTAAGTATCAATTTCAGATGTTGGACATCCAGAAAGGACGGTGCCAGGGGTGGGGTTGGTGGTGAGGGCTAGTCTGCACCTCGGCTTAGTTTCAGCTGGACATCCAGGAAGGTTTCTGATTGAACTAGAGTGCCCACGGTGCCCCCCGGCCTCTAGCTGAGGTATCTGCACTCTAACCTCTGGGGCGACACGAGTGAAGCCTGGGAGGTGCTGGAGAGGCCAGGGGATCGGGGAGGAGAGTGTGGGGGCTGGGGCTGGGAGCAGGTTTTTCTTGGATCAGGTCTTGGTTTAGAGCTGTGAGGGGCCGTGGCAGAGGGCAGGGGCAGGGGGTGCACAGAGACCCTTGGTGTCTGCTCACCCACCTGGGAAATCCAGACAGATCTGACGCCATGGCAGCTTGGGAAGGAGAGCACCAGCCTGGGATGGCCTTGGTCTCCATGACAGTGCTACCCTTCCTCGCACACTAGGTGAGTGCCAAGCAGAAGCATCAGACAATAGGGGCCGAGCCCCGACTCTTTCCATGACTGTGGACTCTCTCCGGCCTCTCTCCATGACCACAGAGTCTCCCCTGGGGAGTTGGGGGACCGAGGCTGGAGGTGCCTTCCGGGTGGCTGCAGCAGGGCAGCTCACGAACACCCCTCATCTCCCAGCTCCCCAGGAGGACCAGTGGGCTCTGGCTGGGCCTAGGACCCCCTCCTACCCACTGCCCACCCGGGCCTTCTTGGGGAGGCTCCCATTCATCCTCAACCTGCCGCGGGGCCTAGCCTTGCCCCCCCCCAGAAGCAAAACTGCCAGCAGGGGCCTTTGTGGGGCTGCTCCCGAGTGGCACTGCCTGGGGTCCCCTCCATGGGGCAACAGATGGACCTATGGTCTCTGCAGAACAATGGTGGGGGAGGGGCCCTGGCATCACCGCCCCAAACAGGAAGCGCCGCAGGAGCTTCAAAGAACTGGCAGGGCCAAGAGGCTGAGTGGCTGGAGCTGGTCCCAGGACTGCCAGCCTTGGGCCGCCCAGCCTGGGAAGGATGGGGGGTGGGGGGCGGGGGCTGTGGTGCAAGGCAGCTGGGGCTGGGGCAGAGGCGCCCTGGCACCCTCTGCGCAGCCGCGACTGTCCTGAGGGCCAGGCTGCGAGAAGGGGCGCGGGCTGGAGCCCTTCCCCAGCTGCATGGCCCCTTGCCGGGCCTCTGGGGCTGCAGGTTCTTTCCCAGGCCAGCCTGGGTCTGGCCGGCCAGCAAGTACCCAACCCAGAGGGGCAGGGCTGGCACTGCGCCTGCTGCCCACTCCCTGCCTCCTGCTCCCAGCTGCTCTGCTCAGAGCCTTTTCCTCTCCACTTCCTGTTCACACAGGGGGGGGCGGGAAGTGGAGGGAGGAAGTTGGGGGGAGGCGTGTAGGGGGACCCATTGAATAAAAGGAATTAACCGTTTCCCTCCTCTGACCTCTGGGAATTTCCGCCTGTGAAAGTGTCTCGAAGAATCGGCAGAGCTGGGGGAGTGGGGAGACCTGGGCCCCCCACCCTCCACAAGAAGCGGTGGGGCCAGATAACTCCCGCCGGCCCCCCTAACCTTTTGTTTCCCTGGCGCCTGGGGGAGCAGCACCCAGGGCAGCCTGGAGCCCGGGGGGCCCCCTCCCGTCCTGCTTGGCCTGCGGGGTCCTGGGTGGGGCGGAGGCGGGGGCGGGGGGCAATCCCCTGGGCCTGGTGGTCCCGGATGAGTGACTGCACACCCAGGCCCCCTGGCTCTGAGCCTGTGCCTTTCTGCCAGAGTGGGGGCCGTTGGCCAGACTGCCCGGAGGTGGGAAAGGGCAAGCGGTGGCAGTGCAGATGCCCTCAGCCGGGACCCACCCCCAGTGGCCACTCCCCCAGGAGCTGCCAGAGGGAGCCGGCCTGCAGGCCGAGGAAGCTGGTGGACAGCGCTCTCTAGTGCCCACCCGGCCAGCTTAGCAGCCCCCCAGGGCCCTCTCAAGGGCGGGACTCAGGAAGCACCTGCTCCCCAGGACCGTGGCCGCCCTTAGGCTCCCCCAGGTGGCTTCCTTGTTTACAGGCCTCCTGTCCCGCGTCACAGCCTGTGTCCACTCCTCTGGTTTCCAGTGATGGCTCCAGAAGCAACTCATTCATCTTGGCCACTGCCCACACAGCTGCTCCCCCCACCCTTGGGGCCCTCCCCCACCCCGGCTTAGGGCCAAGCCCGGTGGCCTCCGCTCTCCCCTCCATCCCAGGGCATCTGAGAGTCCCAGATTAGCTTCCCATGGCCCTGACTCAACGGAACCCCATTCGGCCTGCGCCAGGGCAGCCTGGGGCCTTTTTCCAGGAAAGAGGAAGCAGTCTAGGACCAGATGGGCAGGGGCATCCCAGGCTGCCCGAGCCAAGTCCTCTGGGAGAGGGAGCAACGGGGCGGTGTTTGTTTGACTCGCGGTATTAGGCCCTATTTGTGCAGCAACAGAAGCCCTGAGCCCGACAGAACAAGCAAGAGCAGCCGGCGGCAGGCTGGGGCGCACACCTGATCCTTGCCACCAGACACCCTGAGGCTTGTCTGGGTACAAGGGAGCCCTCGGCCCTGAGGAAAGCTGGACGGCCCAGGGCTCAGAGGCTCTCCCCGATCCTAGGGAGGCCCATCCCCAGCCATTTATGTTTCCCCTCTTGCTTCTGGGGAAGATGGGGAATCTGAAGCTCCTCCACCATGGAGGACAGTTTCCGTTCACTCCTGGCAGGCAGTGGCCACGGGGAGACCCGTAGCCCAGGTACTGGACGGCTCCACGAGGCAACTCTGCATGCAGACCGCAGACTAGCCAAGTCTCAACCAACTAGCCAAGGCTGAGGTGACAGGGCAGACAAGAGCCTGGATCCAGCCTGATTTCCAGGAACCTTCACTTGTTTTGATCCGGTCTGGACAGCTCATAGGCCACACCCATAGAGCTGGTCAGTGGACTGTGGACACTGGTCCAGAGAGCAAAGGGTGCACGGCTGATGCCACTGTCAGGTTCCGCTCCAGACTCCAGCCACAGCGGAAGCCCGACAACCCGGAGGGAGGGGCGGGTCACCAGAGCTGGTGGGTGGGTGGGGAACGTTTCTGCCTCTGGCCATGGCAGTGACCATCTCAGCTCCATGCCAGGCCCTAACTCATAGCCAGTTGCCAGGCAGTCTTCAAGCAGGGCAGATGCTGGGAACGCAAAATTCAGGCTGACACACAGTGGGGCAAGGCAATGCATAAGGTGCATAGGGTGAAGAGAGAAAAAACAAGGGTTTTGATTTAGGGCCAGGAAGTAAATTGTCATTCCCTCCCACGCGGGTCAGGAAGGGGGCGGATCTCAGGACAACCTGAGTAGGGAAGACAGAGGAAGTGCTAGTAGAAAAAGGTCCTGGTGACATCGGCCCTCCCAGCCGGGGTGGGGATGGAGTGGTTAAGGGGTGGTACAAGATTGTGTGGGAGCAGTGCCACCTGCTGGCCAGAGGGAAGAATGGCCACTGCCCTGCGATTTAAGGTGATAGTTTGGCTTTTGAGTGAAGGGACAAGTGTGGAGAGACAAGGAAGGGCAAAATCATCCCATCTCCTCCCCAGATGAAAGAGCAAAAGTCAAGGCCCCAAAGCCTGCAGAGAAGCTGTGAGACTGCAGTGCCTTGGGGATGGGGGTGGGGCTCATGCCCAGGCCATATCAATCCAGAGATGACAGAGGGGAGCAGTCTCACACACTCTCCACCCCCAAAAGCCTCTTCCTCTGTGCCCCTGGAGGCTGTCTGCCCCAGGGTACCCCTCCCACATGCCTGAGACCCTGGGGGACTCAGGATGTGCCGCCTTTTAGCATCTGTGACCCAGAGGCAGCCAGACGAGGAGGTTTCATCAGAGAGAGGAGAGGCACGCGGTGAAAAGGAAGAGCAGAACTCATCTCGAAGGAGAGCAGGATGTATGTTAGGAGGCCAAAGCACAAGACAGCAGCCGGGGTCCAGTCCTGACTCTGGCAGGCTCAGACGCTCTCCTGGTAGGAGGCTACTGACCGGGGCCGACAGGCGGCTCCACGCAGGGCCGTGGGGACAGCAGAAGCCACGGTCGGTCAAACTCAGAGCCACCACCTGTGTGTGGGGGGAGGGGGTGGCAACTGGAAAGCCACTCGCCCTCATTTGGAGAGGACCAGGCCCTGACTCAGCTCAGCCTCCCACGAAGGGACCAGTGGCTGACCCGACCACCTGCCCACCCGCCTGTGGGGACACATTCCCTTTTACAACCAGCTGAGGTGCTCCTCCTCGTACCGCTGCGGGTCAATGAAGGGCCGGTCGATGGAGCGGATCATCAGCTCCCCACAGTACACGCACTCAGCAGCCACCAGTTCGTCCAGGTCAGCCTTGAGCTGTTCCCGGCTGGGCCCTGCAGCAGCGGCTGCACCCTCAGCCTCCTTGGCCCGGGCCAAGCCCTTGGTGGGCGGCGGAGCGGCCCCCAGCTTCCGCTGCAGTTCCTCCAGCCGGGCCTGCTTGTAGGCCGGCAGGCCGGGCCGCACCGCCTGCAGCAGGCAGTCGGCGTGGAACATGTGGCCACAGAGGAAGAGGTAGAAGGGGCGGTTGAGCAGGGGGAAGTCGCAGGCGGCGCACTTGTCCTGGGGCTCCACGGTGCCATAGCGGCCCCGCAGCTCCTGCAGGTCACGCCGGATGCGCTGGGCGCTGGCCGTGGCCTCCTCCATCTCCTGCTGCAGCTCCTGGATGTGCTGGTTGTAGGCCTTCAGGGAACTGCAGATGGCCTCCTTGAAGTGGTCGATGGTCACGAAGTCCGGGAAGAAGGGCAGGACGTCCTCTATCTTGAGCAGGGGGCAGCTGGCCAGGCAAGCCATGGCCGTCTGCACGTCCTCCTCTTCCTGCACCACGTGGCGCGCGATCTTCAGCCAAAGCTTCTTCCGCAGCTCCTCATCCTCCTCGGGCAAGTCTGCACACTGCTTCGCCAGGTCCACATCCACCTGTGGGGGACCAAGAGGGGTAGCACGGAGCATCCCAAGCCCCCCTACCACCAAGGGACTGTGGGAGAGGGACACAGTTCAGAAACCCAGGCCGGAGAGGCCAGCAGGCTTGGAAGCAAACAAGACATACACAGACACCATAGGACACTACTCAACAACAACAACCCCCCCGCAGCTTTATCACCTTATTTTTTGGAACAATCTGCAAACTGCAAGGCAGGGCAAGAGAGTTGGCAGCTTTCGCCACTGAACTGAAAGTGCTCCCCTTTCTAGAGGCACCCACTATGACTGCTGCCTGTGTGTGTGAATGTTCCTCGATTCAGAATCATACAACTTCCTTGTTTTTCTCAGAAGGTATTTTGGAAAAATGGAATCTTGACAAAATAGAATTTGCGGGGTGGCGTGTGAGTAAGCCAGAAGGTGAAAGACAAATGCTGGGTGATCTCACTCATTTGTGGTACATGAAGAAAACGAAGTAAGGGATTGGGACGAGGAGGTAGCTCAAAGGGAAAGAATGTATGCTTTGCCTCAGATCCAGTCCCCAGCACCTCATACCACTGGGAGTATCCTTGGGCAGAGTCAGGAATACTCCGGAGTATCATGGGGTGAGATGCAAACATCAAAAACAACCAACCAGGGCCAGAGCGATAGTACAGCGGGCAGGGCATTTGTCTGGCACAGAGCGGACCTGGGTTCCATCTCCGGCATCCCATATGGTCCCTGAGCACCGCCAGGAGTAATTCCTGAGTGCAGAGTCAGGAGTAAATCCTGAGCATCGCAGGCTGTGATCCAAAAAGCCAAACAAGCAAACAAACAAACAAATAAAAAAGCATTACACTAGGGAGCTGCTTGAACAACAAAACTTAAAAAAATCATTAGCAGGGACTGGCGTGACAGTACAGCAGTTAGGTCACTTACCTTGCACGGGGGCAACCCAGGTTTGATCCCCAGCAAACCATATAGTCCCCTGAGCACCACCAGGAGTATTCCTGAACCAGGAGCAACCCTCGAGCACAGTGAGATGTGGCCCCCAAACAAAAACAACACCCCAAAACCCCAGTAAAACATAAAACCCGACTCAGCAGCTCACCTGCAGGGCCAGGTCCACAGCCTCCTCGTAGAGCTCCAGGACCTTGTAGACGTGGACACAGGCACGGTGGTGGCCGTGCTCGGCACAGAGCCGCAGGGCATACTTGAGGTCGTAGTGCACACGGTGCGGGCTGGCCCCGGCCTTCTCCAGGTAGGTGAGCAGCGAGGCGGGCTGGCCACGGGCGTACAGTGACAGCAGGTAGTTGTGGATGGCCTGCTCCGTCTCACCCAGCGTGTTCACGCAGAATTCCATGTAGCGGATGGCCTGGCTCACCTGCTGTGCCTCGCCCCCCTGGCTGTAGTTCACCAGGGCCGGAATGAGCTGCCGGGCGTCCAGCCGGCTGCCCATCTCCATCCAGGCGTCCACCAGCTGGCGGGGGATGTGACGGATGAGAACGGGGGAGAACTTGTAGAAGAGCTGTGGGTCGCGGTGGCGGGCCAGCACCGCCAGGGCCTCCTCGTAGGCCTCGTGCTGGCAGTGGTAGGCCACCACACGCTCGTAGTCCTGCATGATCACAGCGAAGTACACCATGTGCTCTGTGTCCCCGTGGCTGGCCAGCAGCTCGTGGATGGAGGCGCGGCTGGCGAAGAGCCAGTCCTTGTGGCGGGGGCTGCTGAGGAAGGCTCGGAAGCGCTCCCGGGTCTCCAGGTAGAGGGTCAGGGCCTCGGGGTCCCCCTGCAGGGCGCCGAGCCGGCTCAGGTAGAGCTCGGTCAGCCAGGTGGTGAGCAGCGTGGCCTGCGTGCGCTCTGCAGGCTTCAGGCCTGCCAGCTTCTGCTGCAGAAACTCGGCCAGAGCTTCCTCCTGCCGGGCCTCCAGGAACTTGAGGGCGATCTCCTCGAAGTAGCTCTGTGTGAGCGCGTAGCAGCGGGCACTCTCCACGTAGCGCCGCTGGCGGAAGCAGAAGTCGGCCTCGCGGGCCAGTACGGTGTCCAGGCAGTCGGGTCGCTCACGGCAGTACTCCTTGGCCAGGTCAAAGCGGTTCATGTCCAGGTACGTGCGCCACACGTCGCGCGCCTCCCGCTGCACGTGGTAGCGGAAGACGGCGCGCTCCGTGTGTGCCCACAGGTGGCCGGTGGACGCATCCTTCACCATGTGCCGCAGGGGCCCGAACTTCTCCAGGAAGTGGTCGCGCAGCACCACCTGCCCGGTCAGCGTGCACACGGCCTCCACGCGGTCGGCCAGCAGCAGCAGAAAGTGGAACTGGGTCAGGACGATGGCCAGCGGGGGGCTGGCGCGGGGGCCCACACCCTCGGGGTACTCCCAGACCTGCTCCTCGCTCAGCAGCGAGTCAGGGCGCACGCAGTCCAGGGCGCCGTACAGCACGCCGTCCCCCATCATCCAGGCGAAGGCCCGGGGTGACGAGCGCAGCTTGGGGGTGTAGAAGGCCAGCTCGCTGTAGCCCAGGCTGCTGGGGAACTCGCGGAAGGGCGGGGGGTGGTCGGCGTAGGCAGCGAAGAGCCCCGAGAAGCCCTGGGCATCCGCCCCCTCTGCCGTCTTCCCGATGAACTGGAAGAGACGCTGGCGGGTGGTGGCCAGGACAAAGGCACGGCGGTCGGGGCCCCGCTCCGCCTCCAGGGAGCACACAGGGGCCGGCCCCCCTTCTTCGTTGAGCACGTACAGTGGACGGAAGTAGAGGTCGGGGGCAGGACCGAAGAGCCCCCCCTCATTGGCTGAGAGCTCGGCTTCAAAGATCTGGCCCTGGGCAGTGCCCACCAGGATGGGCCCGGTGCTGCTCTCAGTGCCCAGGGCTTTGTTCCAGCCCACACTCTCCACCAGCTGCCCTTTCCAGCGGGCCAGAGGCCGCACCTTCTGCCCATTCCGGTTCACGTAGAGGACCTCGGTGCTGCTCAGGGCAATCAGCAGATGGGAGCCTGGGATGGAGAGAGTGGTGAGTCTGAGAGGGCGCTGCCGTCCCCTCCCTCCTTGTCTTCTGGCCCACAGGTGCCCTCTCCCACACCCGCCATAACTTACCCGTGTGGTCCAGGAACATTTTATGAACTTTGGCATCATCCTTGCGTCCCAGCTCCATGTGGTTGGGCTCATTGGCCTTGCCCAAGTCAATGCTGCAGGGATATGAGGCACGGTTGGTTGGTGGGTTTTTGTCTTTTAGGCCAGAGCTAGTAGTGCTCAGGGGAAATGGAACCAGTGACGGCCTACAGGCAAGGCAAATGCCTTTCCCACTGTACTATCTCTCTGGCCCTAAGAATCACTGTCGGGGCAGGAGATAGAGCAGTGAGTAAAGCCTTTTTTTTTTTTTTGAGTCATACCCAGCAATGCACAGGGGTTACCTCCTGGCTTTGCTCTCAGGAATTACTCCTGGCAGTGCTCGGGGAACCATATGGGATGCTGGGAATTGAACCCAGGTTGCAAGGCAAACACCCTACCCGCTATACTATCACTCCAGCCCGCAGTTGGTAAAGTCTTGCCTTGGGTTCGAACCCTGGCATCCCATGGTCCCCTAAGCATCACCTGATAAAACTCAAATAATCTCCACTTCCTTCCCTCAAGAAAAAAAGAGACTCACAGGGCCATTCCAGAGAAGGCCAGTCTGGGACTTTTTCAGCAGGCTAAGTGCATTCTTTGCCTGTAGGAACCTGGGGTTCAATCTCCTAAACGACACAGTCCCCTGAGCACCAGTGAGTGTAGCCCAAAAGTAAAAACAAAACAAAAATCAGGATGGTTCGGATCTGTTTTTCTTGGGGAAAGGAGAAAAGGGGCCACACTTGGTTGTGCTCAAGGCTTACTCCTGGCTCTGTGCTCAGGGATCACTATTGGCTGGGCTTGGGAGGGCTATCTGAGGTGCTGGGGGTGAAAATCTGGGTCAGCCTCGCACAAGGCAGTACCCTCCCCACTGTACTATCGCTCCATCCCCCAGGAGTGATTCAGAACCACAAACCTCTCTATGTGATGAAAGCCACGGTCTTTCTTCCCTGCAAATGCCACATAGGCTTCTGAATATGATGCCAAGAGGACTCTGAAACAAAGACTGGCCCTGCTTCAAAGCCCTCGGCTGGGAGGCCCCCTCTGTACGGGAAGTGATGGAGAGAAGGAACCGCTGCCCTCTGCTCACACACCTCCAGCCCATCTGGGAAGATGGCCAGTGGGAGTAAGAAGGGGACGCAGGGGGCCAGGGACACAGGTCAGCAGTAGAATACTCACTTTGCATCTGGGAGGCCCCGGGGTGGATCTCTGAATGCCTCCCAAACCCCAAAAGAAGGGAACAAAAGTAACTAATAGTTACTGATTAATTTTTTGCACCAAGCACCATGTCAAGAGTTTAATCTAGGATCATCCCCATCTTCTCAGGCACCTTGAAGAGTGCTCCTAATTCAAATTACATTTTTCCCAAAAATTCTTCGTAAGCTATATGCTCATTATAACTAAACAATCAAAGCAAATATGTATAAAGATAAGGTTAGTGCTGGAGAGATAATAGAGCAGTTAAAGTGCTTGCTTTGTGTGTGGCTACTCCAGTGTGATCCCCAGGCCTGCATGGTCCCCTGACACCACCAGGGCATGGATCCCAAACCAAGTCCTCTGTCCTCCCCCCAAAAAATGTCAATTATTTTCTTCTATATTCCCATCATTCCCTTGACACTTTTTGTTTTGTTTTAGGACCACACCTGGTGGTTCTCTGTGGGATAATATTTGTTTGTCCTTTCTGCCTTGCTGCAGGGAGCTTAGGTTTTTGGGTTTTTCCTATCATAGTGCTCCCATTCCTCTGTGTTTATTTGTAATCTCTTTCTTTGTGCTCTGTTGACTTGTAAATATTGTTTTTCTCTTCTCCTTAAGTCCTTTGCATAGTTAATTCAGAGTAATGTCCTTTTTATTTCTTTTGGGTTTTTTGTTTTTGTTTTTTGCTTTTTGGGTCACACACCCAGCAATGCACAGGGGTTACTCTTGTTCTGCACTCAGGAATTACTCCTGGTGGCACTCAGAGGACCATATGGGATGCTGGAAATCAAACCTGGGTCAGCTGCATGCAAGGCAAACGCCCTACCCGCTGTGCTATCGCTCCAGCCCTGCAATGTCCTTTTTATATGGACACAAGAAGACAGCTATGGGCTGGAGCGATAGCACAGAGGGTAGGGCCTTTGCCTTGCAAGCGGCTGACCCGAGTTCGATTCCCAGCATCCCATATGGTCCCCTGAGCACCGCCAGGAGTAATTCATGAGTGCAGAGTCAGGAGTAACCCCTGTGCATAGCGAGGTGTGACCCAAAAAGCAAAAAAAAAAAAAAAAAAAAGACAGTTAATGCTATGCTTTTATAACTTGCATGTTAATTGACTCTGAATGATAATTCACTGCTGGGCGTCTGTTCTCTCGACTTAAGCCTCAGTTGCCCTTACTTCCTAGATCCCCAAAACTAGGGTCCTGACGAGGGACTGGACTGACGAGGGCAAGCTGTGAGCTACTCTGCCATCGAAATGGGCCTGGCCAAAGTGTCATAATACTCAACTATAAGTTAAGAGCATGGTCACGGACAAATTCTGTTGTGACCCAAAAAGTAATAACTAGATTTGTACCTTGCTAGGGTTAGGAATGATTAATATGACCTGAGCACTGTAGTCTGAGTCTGTGGCGAGATGTCCGTAGGGAGTCGCCCTGTAAGCCTCAAATTCAGCCTGATAGGCCATCAGGAAGGGCTTTGGTATGTTGATTATGCTACCCCCAATGAAAGAGAGAGAGAGAGAGAGAGAGAGAGCGCGCGCAAGGGCAGCAAGATGGAGCGCAGAGAGAGTAGCAAGGGGGACAGAGGGAGAAGAACGTAGGGGAAGAATGCAGGAGCAGGTGCATGGAGAGAGACCAGGCTGTGAGATGGATGAGTGGGAGAGACGAGAGGAGACAGGAATGAGGGACAGTGTGAGACTAGAGTGGGGAGCTTAGTGAGACTGGAACAGGTGTGTGGGGAGAATGGAAAACAGCAACTGATCATCAACCAGCTTGGCCCTCGTTTCCTCCTTCATCCACCCATGGCCGCCCTGGTGAGCAAGCAGCCTGAGTCCACTGAACCTGGGCAGCGAGAGGGAGAGTCGCCAGGGCTCTCCCTAGCTGCCCAGAGATTACACAGTTCTCCTAGCCCTGCACTCAGACATTACTGCAGGAAGGCTCAGGGAACCATATGGGGTGACAGGGATCAAACCTGGGTTCCCGCATGCAAAGCAAGAGCCTTACCTGCTGTACTATTGTCCCGGCCCCTATTCCCATCATTCCCAACAGAGGAAGCATCTTTAGGCAGCATAGTAGAGTGGATAATACGTTTTCTTTGCAGGCTGCCCACAGGTTTGATTCCTGATATCCCAGAGCACAGCCAGAGGTGGTCAAACAAAATGAAACAACCACCTTCAGTATCTATCTTACTGCTAACATCTTTCCCCATTCTCGTGTTTAAATAGGACTGCTCTGCTTTTCTCCAAAACCGTCTTTGTTTCCTTCATATCACGTATGTGATATAATGTGTGGATACACAGATAATGTTTTTCTCACTTTTTTTTTTTAAATTAAGGTTTTGGATCCATTTTGCACTCTGTGTCTCTGCACTTCTGCATTCAAGGAACACTCCTGATGGGGCTCAGGGGACCATATGTGATGCCAGGAAGCAAACCTGACTACCTCAGATGGAGCTCTTTTAATTTTTATCTATTTCTTTTTTGGGGGTGGGGTGAAGGGGTATCTCTACTAAGAAGTGTTTAGGAGGCCTGAAAGCCCTTACCAGCGATTTTTAGTCATGGAGGCCTATGGTTCAGTGAAAGAACCTGAGAATGCAGAGGTACTCAGGCCTTGTGGTGCTCCAGAGCCTGCCAGGGCTATATTCTGCAGTCTTCAGGCGACCACATGGTACCTGGGACTGAAGCAGGGTCGGCCAGGAGCAAGGCATGCAACTTGACCCTTATTTATTTATTGTTGTGCTCACCCCAGCAGGGTTCGGGGTTACTCCTGGAAATGGTCAGGGGATCATGCAATGTCAGAGGTCAAACCCAGCTTCCCACAAGCAAAGCATGTGCTCCATTTTATGATCTATCTCTCCAGCCCCTTTCTTGTTGTTAGAATAACTATGGAATATTTTTATTTCTGGCTGAACCTTCATTTCCTTACTTTTCTGATGACTGGCCATTCAGCATCAGTCCAGTTTTTCCTACCATAAATAATGCTGCAATCAATAATATCCTTGTCTATACATAGATGCAGACTGGAACTTTTTCTTCTTTAGGGATGTATGTACTCCCAAAGTGGAACTGCTGAGCCAATGCTAAAAATATTTAAACTTGGGGCTGTAGTGACAGTACAGGGGGTAGGGCGTTTGGCTTGAACATGGCATGGCCGACTCAGGTTCGATCCCGGGCATCCCAGGATATTGTCCCCTCAGCACCACCAGGAGTAATTCCTGAGTGCAGAGTCAGGATTAACCCCTGAGCATCATTGGGTATGACCTCAAAAGCAAAAAAAAAAAAAAAAGTTCTTTTTTAATTTCAATAGACATCTTTTCCCCTAAATGGAGGAAGTTTACATATTCAGCAATAAGGGACCAAAGTCTACTTGTGTAAATCTTTAACAGCAGCATATATTACTGTTTTCAATTTTTGCCAGTCTGACCTTAGATTACAAAACAGAGATTACCAGAGGGGCGAGAAGGGGGGAATGAAGAGGAGAACTAAAAGTAACAGACAGGCCTTGGTGGAGGAAGTTAGGCACTTGGTGGTGATGAGATGTGGTATCACATCATTTATCAAGACCATTCGATATGCCAGACACAGTAACAACAAAGTCTCCAATGGAGACGTTACTGGGCCCGCTCGAGCAAATCGACGATCAACGGGAGGGCCTTTACCTTTACCTTTACCTTTATGAAAGTTACACTATTGTAAATGTGTGTCTTAAATGACAATAATAAGCAAAAAATGTGTGTATTAAATGACAATAATAAGCAAATATATATATATCTTCCAAATACATATATATATATATGTAGCCAATATAACAGGTTTAAAAGAAAGTGGCATCTAGAGCCAGAGATGTAGCTCAGTGGTACAATGTTTGCCTTGAATAGTGATATAATATTTGCTTATTTATTTATTTCTTGGTTTGGGAGCACACTTGGCAGTGCTCAGGGATCAAACCCAGGTTGGCCATATGTAAGGCAAGAGCCCTACCCGCTGTACTATCTCTTCCGCCCTCACCCCACCATCTTTTGTCTTGATCTAACTGAGAGTGTTTTTTTTTGTTTTGTCCTCACAGCAGTTAGCATGCCATCAAATATATCTTTTTCCCTTGTGGCTTCTGGATTTTTCTAGCTTGAGTCAAGTCTCCTTTCAGCTCAAGAACATAGAATTTTTTTTTCCAAAAAGAAATTTTCCTGGGCCAGAGCAACAGGTAGGGCACTTGCTTCACACATGATCAATCTGGGTTTGATCTTTGACACCCCACTAGGACACTGGTCCTCTGTGCCCTACCAGGGGTGATCCCTGAGCGCCGAGCCAGGACTAAGCCCTGAGCACCACTGTGTGTGCCCCTCATGACAAAAAAAATTTTTTTTTTTTTTTTATATTTGTATTGTTTGATTTTGGTTTGGTTTGGAGTCACATCTGGTGATGCTCAGGGGTTACTTCTGGAAGTGCTCAGGGGAACATATGGGATGCTGGGGACTGAACCTGGGTCGGTCATGTATAACAGCCCAACCCGCTGTTCCAGTGCTCCAGCCCTGTACTGTTTGATTTTTATAAACAATTTTCCATATTTTGTGATAGAGGTTTAGCAACATATAGGTTTAGCAGGATTATATTTCATATGGTTGTTGCTATTATTATTGTTATTATTATAGCGAGGGGCCCATAACTGGCTGTGCTCAGAGGGCCATGCAGTGCTGGGAATCGAACCCAGGCATTCAGCATGCAAAACACAGGCTTAGTCTATCGCATTATCTCCCAGGCTTCAGTAGCTTATTCAGAATAAATACCCTTGCCAATATGTTTGTCAAATATTATTTCTATATACCATGTCCCTCTGTTTTTATTGAGGTGTATAATGTTTCCTGGTGGGGAGGTTTGGCACCAAACCTGGCAGGTCTTTAGGGCTACTCTAGGCTCTGTGCTTAAGGTGTTTCTCCAGCAATACTGGAACTAGCCTGTGGTGCCAGTCTTGAACCCAGGTTTCCTGCCTCGGAAGCATGGTCTCAGCCCATTGAGCCATCTCTCCGGCCCTCTTTACTTTCCTTTCCAGAGAATTTACTCAGAACTCTAGGCAGTTCCTTGGAATTATGTGACTAATATGGATTGTTACTAACAGAGCTGTGGGTGACCAATCTCCATCATAGATGGTAAGTGGTAGGGTTGGGGAACTGAGTCTAGGTCTCATGCTCTGATTCTTGGCAGTGCTCACTTGACTTACTCTTGTCTCTGCATTCAGGAGTGACTCCTGGTGGTGTTCAGGGAACCATACTCGATACCAGGAATCAAACCCAGATTGGCCACAAGCAAGAAAGTGCCCTAACAGCTGTACTACTGCTCTACCCCAGATTCTGTTCTGATTTTGTGTGTGCATGTGTGTGTGTGTGTTTTCTTTTTGGGTCACACCTGGTGATGCTCAGGGGTTACTCCTGGCTCTGTACTCAGGAATTACCCCTGGTGATGCTCAGGGGATCATATGGGATGCTGGGAATCAAACCTGGGTCAGCTGCATGCAAGGCAAACGCCCTACCCACTTTACTATCGCTCCAGCCACCCCCCCTTTTTTTTAAAATTTTTTGTGTTTTGAGGCCCCACCCCACAATGCTCCAGGGCTGTTCCTGGAAGTCCTTAGAGCCATTTCTGTGGAACCCGGGTCTGATTCTTAGCTAGTATGCTGCTAATTCCCTTTGGGAAACAATGTTTGTGAAAACTTCCAAATCCACTGCTTCACCTGCCCAGGTTAAAAGAAATTCCTTCTGTCCGTTAAGACTCCTCAAACCTACCAATCTACTTCCCACTAAGAAAGATTCGCGACCCCCAGTTACCGGAGCAGCGTGTCCTTGCCCAGGCTCATGCACAGTTGATTGCAGGAGACGACCAGACTAGTGATTCTCTCAGAAGGAGTGAAGTCAATGCGCTGCTTCGTGAAGATAGGCATTTCCTTCTCAAGCTGGGCATTCACATACCCTGTGGTTAGGAGTGAGGCAAAGGTTAGCTATCGGAGAGCTGGAGGAAGGACAAGGTGAGTCCACACTGACACGAAGGGTTTCTGTCCACTTCCCATAACACTCCTGCCCCAGGTCCTCAGCTAACGAACAAGAATTCACTGCCGGGTATGGATTCAGTGGCAGAGCACATGCTTTGCATGGGAGAGGCAGGCCCTGGGCTCCATCCCTGGCCACACATGATTGATAGCTCCATCCCTGGCGCATGTGTACACAGCCCCCTCTGTCCCCCACAAATATATGGAGTGCTTTGCTAATCTCTACATTAGGGGTCCTATGCTCTTCCCACACCTTTTTTTTATTTTGGAGAGGGGCACACCTAGTGGTACCCAGGGGCTACTCCTAGCTCTGAACTCAGGAATCACTCCTGGAGTGCTCTGGCAACCATATGGGATGTTGGGGATCAAACCTGGGTGGGCTGCATACAAGGCAAGTGCCATACCTACTGTACTATCTCTCTAGCCTCTCTTTCCGCACTTCTGACAGCAGTGATGGGTTGGTTCCTTGGTGCCTTGGTTCCATGCTATTACACCACAATGTACCAGCTCCAAGCAGTAACAGAGGGAAGAGCTGGGAGCTCCCTGACCAATCTTGGGCCCAGTGATCTCCACTTAACTAATGCTGGCTTCCTCCCAGACAGGTATGGTCTCAGAATGAGGTTCGAAAGAGCCGGGGGTGGGGGTGGGTGTAACATTCCAATCATTTGTTAACTAACTGCAGTTGCTTTTTTTTTTTAATACTCTCATTCTTTTTTACCATGAGTCAAAATGTGCCAGCACCTTTACCCAGCACGGGGCTGACACTGTTCAATCACTAGCCCCACTTATGGTCCCCCACACACCAACAGGAGTGATCCTTGAGCACAGAGCCAGGATTAGGCTGAGCACCCTGGTGTGACCCACGCCCCCCCAACCAAACATACCGGCCCTGAAAACTCTGCCATACGTTCTACAATTTCCCCTCCACTCCAGGAAGCACCCAGGTCTGGCAAGGGCCTCCAATGCTTCGTTTTTCCTACTCAGGGGGAAAATGCACAACCCCTTCCCCCTGCAACCTGCAAATACTGGATCGGGACAGGGGAAGCTCAGAAACGGGAGAAGCCTGGGTGCATTCTCAGTTCTCCCAACAGCAGCCATGGACGCAAGTCCATTCTCAGTTCTCCCAACAGCAGCCATGGACGCAAGTCACTTCCTTCTCTGAGTCCCAGTTCCCTCTTACAGGTTCCCTGGAGGCAGGGCCTAGGTTAAGCGCTGCCTGTCATGCTCCCGTGCTCGCTCGCTTGCTCTCTCTCCTACTTTTCACCAGCGGGAGACCAAGAAAGCCTGTGCAGCAAACGGGGCCGAGCCTAGGGCTGCACAAGCGCGAGGTGCGCTTGGGGCTCTTGGAGCCGCCCCGCCCCGGCTCGTGCCAGGGGAACCGAGCAGGGGCCAAAGCTCCTTCCACTCCCTTACCCGAGTGAGGGATGCCCACGCTGGGGCAGCCGGGTTGCAAGACCGCCGAGCGGGACAGGGAGTCCTCGTATTCATCCAGGATGGACGCCATGGTGTCCGGCCTTTGGGCGCCCCCGGGTTCCGACAGGGTTCGCCCCCGGGGATCCCGGACCCCGGCTTAGAAACTGCGATTGCTCAGCCTCCACCGAGAGCCTGGCAACCCACCGCCGACGCTTTAAAATCCTGAGAATCTTCTCGCTCAAGGCGGGAAAGCCGCCCAGGGCTTGACTCTTGAGCCACGGCGCAGCCCACCCCGCCCCCCGAGAGACCGGCGGCGACCCCCAGCCCGCGCCCGGTGCTCCCAGCCTCGCCGGGCAGCTCAGCTGACTCGCGCTCCGGGGACGCGGGCCTATAACGTAACTTCCGGGTTCTCAGCCCCGCGTCAGCTCGCGCAGGAACGTCCCGGACCAGCCACTGGGCGGCGCAGCCGGGCGCTGCAGGGGCGGGGCCCCGGGCGCGCGCCCGAGAGGGAGGAACGTGGCACCTCCCGCCAAGCACGGTTCCGAGTTTTGACACTAGGTGGCAGTCCCAGCTTTCTCAGCTCCCTCCCAAAGAGCCCGGTCTTAAGTGGGTCCCTAGCACCTTTTCGTGAAGAAAGTGCGTCCCTAGCACCGTCTTGGGTAAAAAATGCGTCCCTAGCACAGTTTTTGTATAAAAAGTGCGTCCCTAGCACCTTTTGAATAAAGAGTGCGTCCCTAGCACCGTTTTTGGATAAAAAGTGCGTCCCTAGCACCTTTTTTAGTAAAAAGTGAGTCCCTAGCACCGTCTTGGGTTAAAAAATGCGTCCCTAGTACAGTTTTTGGTATAAAAAGTGCGTCCCTAGCACCTTTTGAGTAAAAAGTGCGTCCCTAGCACCGTTTTTGGATAAAAAGTGCGTCCCTAGCACCTTTTTAAGTAAAAAGTGAGTCCCTAGCACCTTTTTGAATAGAAAATGCGTCCCTAGCACCGTTTTGGCTAGAAAGTGCGTCCCTAGCACCTTTTTGGGTAGAAAGTGCGTCCCTAGCATCTTTTTGGGTAGAAAGTGCGTCCCTAGCATCTTTTTGGGTAGAAAGTGCGTCCCTAGCACCGTTTTGGGTAGAAAGTGCGTCCCTAGCTCTTTTTTGCATATAAAGAGGGCTCCTAGCACCTTTTGTGCAGAAGTGGGTCCCTAGCACTTTTTTTTTTGTATAGAAATTGCATTCTAGCAGTCTCAAGTTAGTCCCTAGATACTGCAACAAGCATCCTCAAATGGATATGAGCACCTTTCCAGCCTCAAGTGAGTACCTCCAGGTCTAGAGATAGGACAGCCAGTACTCTCTAGCCATGCATGAAGCTGACTTGAGTTCGATTATCCGCACCACACATATGGTTCCCCAGGCCCAGCAGGAGTGATTCCTGAGGACAGAGACAACAGCATAAGGTGTGGCCCCCCCCAAAAAGGGAAGTAAGTCCCTAGCACCTTTTGTGTAGAATCTGAAGCTGCATTCTAGTAACCTCAAGTGGGTCCCTAGCATCTACTGTGTACAAAATGAGTCCCTAAAACCAATCTGTGTAGAAGGTGGATCCCTAGCACCTTTTTATGTAGAAAGTGCTTCCCTAGCACCTTTTTGTGTACAAAGTGGGTCCCTAGCACCTTTTTTTTATATAGAAACTGCATTCTAGCAGTCCCTAGATATTGCATCAAGTATCTTCCAGTGGATACTAGCACCTTTTCTGTATTAATTGCACATGACAAGCCTCAAGTGAGTCCCTCTAAGATCCAGAATCTAACACAAGTCAGTCTTATGCAAGGATAGTCTCTAGGCTGACTTGTGTTAGATTCTTCACACCACATATATGCTTCCCCAAGCCCAGCACAAGTGATTTCTGAGGACAAAGACAACAGTGCCCCCCCAGCACCAAAAAAGGGAAGTGAGTCCCTAGCACCTATTTGTGTAGAAAAATGGGTCCCTATTTGTATAAGTTGATCCCTAGCACTTTTTGATGTATAAAATTTGTATAAGGTGATCCCTAGCACTTTTTGATGTACAAAGTGGGCCCCTAGTACCTTTTATGTAGAAGTGGGTCCCTAGCACCTTTTATGTGTGTAGAAACTGCATTCTAGCAGTCTGAGTCCCTAGGTACTGCACTAAGCATCCTCACATGGATACTAGCACCTTTTCTGTATAAATTGCACCTGACCAGCCTCAAGTGAGTTCCTACAGAACCAGAGATAGTACAGCCATTATTTTCTAGCCTTGAACAAGGCTGACATGATTTGATCCTTCCCACCACATGCAGTTTCCCAAGCCCACCAGTAGTGATTCCAGAGACAACAGAACCAGGTGTGGGGGGAAAAAAAGGAAATGAGTCCTTAGCACTTTTTTGGTAGAGGTTGAAGTAGTGTCCTAGCAACCTCAAGTGCGTCCCTAGCACCTATATGTGTAGAAAGTGGGTCCCTAGCACCATTTTTTGTAGAAAGTGCACCCAAGCAGCCTCAGCCTACAGGGCCAGAAAGATAGTACAGCAAGTAGGGCTCTAGCCGTGCATGAAGCAGACTCGGAGTCTATCTTTCACACCACATATTCCCCCACCCACCCCCAGCTCACTAGGAGTGATGTTTGAGCACAGAGACAACAGAACCAGGTGTGGCCAAAAAAAAAAAAGGAAGTGAGTTCCTAGCAGTTTTTGTGTATAAACTGCACCCAAACATCCTCAAGTGGGTTGGTTCCTAGCACCTTTTCTGTATAAAATTCACCTGGGCAACTTCAAGTGGGTTCCTAACACCTGTTTTATAAAAGCTGAACCCAAGCAGCCTTTGGTGTAAAATCTTCCCTCCTTCAATCTATTGCTCAATTTCCCTATCCAGTTCCCACTTCCACCATCCTAAATAGCCCATTACCCTAGGTCCCAGAAGAACCTGATGTTCCTCAATCTAATCGCTGTCTTGACCCTATGCCTTCGCAAAGAATGGGTGACTTGACCTTTTTTCCTCCCACATCTAGGAACTTACAAGTTCTAAAATGTGGCAGAGCTAGTGAGCTGGCAATTGGGAGGCCAAGTGTGTTCTAAACTGCCTCTAACCTGTTCCACAGTGGTAGCTAGGTGTGTGTGGGGGAAGGGTGGGGATGAATGAGACAACTGAGAAGTCAAAGCATAATTAGGGATGCGCCTGCTTCTATATATTTCTTCAACAAAAGTGTCTATAGCACAGTTTTCAGGGTGCTTGCCTTACACATGGCTGACCAGGGTTCGATCCCCGGCATTCCATATGGTCCCCTGAGCATCATCAGGAGGAATTCCTGAGTGCAGAGCCAGGAGTAACCCCTGAGCACTGCTTAATGTGCCCAGAAAGAGTGATTTTTAAAAAGCATCTAATCCTTATTCAGTGCCTGTCCTTGAGCTAGGTCCTGGGGTTACAGAGACACATACAATACCACTTTGGTGGCCAGCAGGGAGAATGGTAGCAGTAAATAGATCATTAATACTAGAAAGGGCTGGAGCGATAGCACAGTGGTAGGGCGTTTGCCTTGCACGCAGCCAACATGGCCGACCCGAGTTCGATTCCTCCGCCCCTCTCGGAGAGCCTGGCAAGCTACCGAGAGTATCTCGCCTACACGGCAGAGCCTGGCAAGCTCCCCGTGACGTATTCGATATGCCAAACACAGTAACAACAAAATCTCCAATGGAGACGTTACTGGGCCTGCTCGAACAAATCGATGAACAACAGGAGGGCCTTTACCTTTGCCAAACACAGTAACAACAAAAATCTTCAATGGAGACGTTACTGGGCCTGCTCGAGCAAATCGATGAATAATGGGAGGGCCTTTACCTTTACCTTACCTTTACCATACTAGAAAAGTAATTGATGGATTTTTTTTTTCAGAAACTCATTCATTTCACAGGAGCTACTTCAGATTCTGAGATCAGAGCAGATAACAGAAGCCTGAGATATCGTACAGGTGCTCTGGTGTTTGTCTAGTATTTGACTGGCCCTGGTTGGACCTCAGCACCACATCATTCCTCCAAAGTCCTCAAGGAGTAACCCCCAGCTCCACAATGTGTGTCCCAAAAATGAAAAAAAATTTAAAAAGGGATGAATCTGTTGTTGGGAAACCAGAGAGACACTATAGGGGTATAGCACTTTACCTTGCAAGCAGCCAGCCATGGTTTGATCCCCAATACTACATGTGGTCTCCCAATATTCCCAAAAGAACTAGAAAGAGCCCCTGAGCACACCAAGTATGAACTAAAATGAGAAAAGAAATAATGGTACAGGACCTAAGAGATAGTACAGTGGGTAAGGTATTTGCCTCGTATGTAGCTAATCTGAGTTTGATCCCCAGCACCCCATATGGCCCCCCAAGCATAGAGCCAGGAATAAGTCCTATGCACCACCAGGAGTGGCCAAAAAACTTTTTTTAAATGAAAAAAAAAAAGGAAAAGAAACACTGGGCCAGAGAGCTAGTACAAGGGTTAAGGCACTTTCCTTGCTCCAGAGAGCTAGTACAAGGGTTAAGGCACTTTCCTTGCTTGCAGTGGACCCCAGTTTGATTCATCTGGCACTACATATGGTCCCCAAGTCCACCAGGAGTGATCCCTGAGTGCAGTGCCAGGAGGAAGTCCTGAGCCCTTCTTGGTGTGTCCCAAAGAACAAAACCAAAACGAGTCTCTGACTTGGGTGAGAGGGATAGGTGACCCCACTGCCCAGCACTTGCACAGATTGGTCCCTCAGCCACTCAGGAAGTGCCCGAAAAACTGGGAGAAACTTCAGCACAGTAGAGTGTGGTCCCCAAACAAACAACAACAAAAAGAGAGTCTCTGTCCAGTGTACCCAGGAATACAGTCACAGTACTATGGGAGAACAATGGCATTAAAAGTATCTAGGGGGCTGGAGCGATAGCACAACAGGTAGGATGTTTGCCTTGCATGTGGCCAACCCAGGTTCAATTTCCAGCATCCCATATGGTCCCCCGAGCACTGCCAGGAGTAATTCCTGAGTGCAGATCCAGAAGTAAGCCCTGTGCATCGCCAGGTATGACCCAAAAAGCAAAGAAAAAAGGAAGTATCTAGGAACTATGACAAGTGACTTTGGAAGCAGGTGGAAGGTCCTAGGTGGTGGAACTTGGGGGTTTCAGGTGAGATTGCTACTGTATTTCCTTCTCCCACTCTCCTGGAGCCCATGAAGT